GGATTGGTGGCTTGGTTTTGGAAGTGGGATATGTGGCAGGGATCTGCTAGGGCCATTACCATGGAATTGGGTTCCCAGCTTGGCTTCCCAGTGTTTGTCATGTGCTGATTGGCAGCCAAGTGGGCAAACAAGGCACGAGAGGTGATTGGGTTAATATCAGATCAGGTTCTATGAAAAGTCCTGGATTCTAAGAACAGAAGTTGCTGGAAAGCACACAAACAAGTAAAACATTCCCAAGAAGTGTGGGAGAGCAGAGAGAAGGTTACCAGGGGTTTTCTGGGTTTTTTTGCTTTCCTTCTCCAATTGACTGCCTTGGAAATTTAAATCTCCTGGCTCTTTACCTCTGGAACCTTGTCTTCCTTCCTTTTCCTGGGGCATGGAAAAAGGGTGCTTGTAGGGAATGCAGTAGGAGTTTGTGGCTGCCACTCTTGCCTTTCCCATTCCTCACTTCCTCTTGTTTATTTAGTTTGTCCTTGTTGATGGCAGAAACATATGATGGGTTATTCCTGGGTGCTGGGCTGTAGCAGAGGATCCCCTCATCTCTGTCCCTGTGCTTGGCTCTGCAGTCACCTTTGAGCCCAGGAATCTCTGCTGCCTCCTCCCAGCTGTCTCAGGGCTGGAACCCAGCTGAGCCTGTGCTGGTTCTGCCTGGGCTGTAGCTCTGCAGCCTCTGTGGTTTGGGTACTGGCAGCCCCTGGCCTCACACTGCTTTGTGCAGCTGCAGTTCCAAGAAATGCAGTGAACCAGAGCCCTGGCCACAGGCCAGAGGTGACACCAGGAGCCTGTGAGAACAGAGAGGGTGCCGGGGGGCCTTGGGGAACTGCACTTGTGGGTGGAAGGGTGAGGCAGAGGCTCAGGGGAAGCTGGAGGTGTTCATAAAGTTTCACAATTGTTGCACTCCAAGAGAAGTTGGAGGGGGGGGATGGAACCCAAATAAAAGATAGTGTGAACTTAGGGTGAATCTGGCAGTGAAGCAAGATTTCCTGGAGTCACAAGGTGAGAACAGCCTGTGAGTGGTTTGGCTAAAAGACAAAAGCTTGAGAACCTCAAGTATTGCAAATTAGGTAGCATGAGAAGCAAATATTTGTGTCCCCTGTACATGTAAGCACAGGGTAATCACAGAACAGTTGGGATTGGAAGGGACCTCTGCAGATCATCCAGTCCAACCCCCTGCTAAAGCAGGGTCACCTGGAGCAGGTGACACAGGAATGTGTCCAGGTGAGGTTGGAATATCTCCAAGGGGGAGACTTCATGCCCTCCCTGGGCAGCTGTTCCAGTGCTCTGTCACCATCAATGTAAAGAACATTTTCCTCATGTTGATGTGAAACTTGTGTTTTAGTTTATGGCCGTACATAAGACTTGCCTCAAGGAAAAGTGGGGCCACTGAATCTACTTTCCCATGTGACTTCTGTCTCTTTCTCCTGGCTATTTGAACACCTCTGCTCATCTGTCTGTGGGATGAAATGTGCCTGTGAAGTCTGTGTGCAGACAGTCTGACCCTGCATGCAGGTGTCAACAGCTCCATCGTGGGGCTGCCCAAACTCTGTAGGGGACCTTCCTTCCAACTTGCTGCCGATGCTAGCAGAAGTCACCAGAGGATTTTACATTTTTCTGGTTCTCTTTGCCATTCAGTCCTTTCACTCCTTCCAAAACTGACTTTTGCTGCAGGAAGGAGCTTCTTGTACAGACTAGAGGAGAAAAATTCTTCAAAATATTCCATTTCCCCATTCTCACCCAATTATCACACTGATACCCACGTGCCTGTACACCGGGCTCCAGGATGAAAGTAGTTCTGCCAGTACCTGTAGCACTGGTTAGCAGATTTTTTTTGTTGTAAATTGGGTTGTAACTGACAATAATGACTCATACTGTAAGCAATAATTTGAATGTTAATAACCCCACAACTGAGAGTTCATTCTACCCAGTGATTGGCGTGCTGTGGGCAAATATGGAATTGGGTCATGAAGTGTTTTCTTTTATTTCCCAGTGGAATTTTTGTAATTTCATATCTCAGCCTTCAAAGCTGGTGATCAAACTGGTGGTTAAAATGGCTTTTGGTAATGTTGGCATTATATTAGCAGGCGTTTGTACTCTGAATCTGTTCAGTCTGAGAAGACATGGGGTATCCTAGTATAGGATAGTAAAGATCCCAGCCTTTGGCCAGTTGCTGTTGTCCCAGTCACAGTTTCTCTGTGACAGTCCAAGGCACCTCTTTTTAGCACCGTCAGCCTCTTTGTTGCTTTTCCCTGGTTGTGGTTCCAGTTGGATTCTTGTGCAAAGGCTGGGAATGTCTGACTTGCTGGGTGTTTCATAGTCTTCGTATGAACACTGTTAATACTTTGCCAGAAATACTTCATGTCCCAAGATGAGATTTGAAAGGGGCTCTGCTGTGTTCTGCAAAGTGCTGTAATTTATCAGTTTCCAGTGGTGATATTTTGGAGGTGATGGTGTGATTGGAGAAGCACAGATTTTGGCTGGATCATTTGCTAGAAATGAAAAATACTGAGAGGAATCTGACAAATACAGTTGCAAAACAATTTTTGATAATTTAATCATTCCTGGAACCTAGTGGCAATGGGAGTGGGATGACAGGACATACTCTGTGTCATGGTTGCTGGATTTTCCTGATTCTTTGCCAGTTAGAATAAATCTTCTTTGCTTGTCAATCAGGTTGAAAATAATCATTCAGCCTTTTATTGTAATGAAGTACTAAGGTCTGGAAATTATGTTATTCCTTTAGGTTGTCCCATTATTTTTTATGTCTTTTACTTTTGTACTGTTATGGTAAATGTGCATTATGAGAAAACCAGCCTTTGCCTCAGTAAGAGCTGGAATGAAATAACCAAGACAATGAGGCAAGGCAGTCAGAAAGCAGGATACAAAGCCTAAGTAATATCAAGATCCCATTTTATTTATATTTTATGTGGTAAAACCTGAAATAGGTCATGTTTAAATGGGAGCTTTGGCAAGCACACTAAAATGCTTTCACTGTGGAATGTATAAAGTAGGCATTCCATTAAAACCCATCAAGCTTGAAATTACTAATGATAAACCTTAAGGAAGTTAATAAATGGTTAGAATAGTTCTAGTGTATGGAAGTCACATTTGGACATTTGTAATCAGTAACTTGTGCTACTCTGGGAACAGATGGTTCTGACTTACTGTGGAGATTTCCAGGAAATGTTTTAAGTGTCCAGAAATGGCTGGTATTTAAAGAAGTGATTAAATAGCCAAGCAAAAAATTTTGTGTGCCTTTTCTTCAGTGGTCTTGGAATCCTCAGCACCTCACCTGCTTGGCCAAAGCAGCTGTGGTTGCAGTCTCTGGCTGCAGTGCCTGAGTGTTTTCAGGCTGATTCATCTGGAGCTTGTTTGAATGGCCAAAGCCACTTCTTACAGAAGTGGGTAGCTGAGGTGTTTATTTTTCCCTTATGCTGAGTTCTGTAATAGTTTCCTCCAGGTTGGGAGCCTGTGAGACTGTTTTCATCCATAATTATAGGATGAAAGGAAAGGAATCCCAGAGCAGCAGTGAGGAATTTGTGATTTTGGAGTCTGTTAGCAAAAGTCCCATGTGAGGGCAATGCCAGTAATGACACTGTGACCAGGGCAGGGCATTGTGATGTGGCTCTTCATCCCTGGCTGAGTATATTTAGATATCAGTCCCCAATCTTGCCTGCTCCGGGGATGGTTCATTGAAGCTCATCTAACTGAACACTTCATTTTTATACCTGTTTGCATCTCCCTTCCCACTTACTGCACATTGGAGTGGCCTGTCATGAAGGATGACCAGCAGCTATGAATCTCATCAGAAATACTGCAGCATAAGACAAGGCATCTCTTATGCTGCAGTCCAATTTGGGTGAGAGATCCAAGGAAAGGCTTCTGCCCTTATGCACAAGCCTGTCAAGTTCAGACTCCTGATAAAAGCCATTGTAAAGTAGAATAGAAGCTGTTCTGCCTGCCAGACTTGTTAATTTTAAATATTCCAGCTTATGCCAGTTATTTTTTGTACATTTTGTTAAACCTTCTGGATTTACAGGTGAGATCCAAGAGCAGCCCTCTCAAGTGGAGAATCCTAGCCAGGCTGGGAACACCGAGGGCAGGAAGGCCTGTGTGTGCTGTTGTGCCTTGAAAGCACAAGGATGGGAGGGAGCTGAGAGTATCTGCTGAGCTGCTGATGCACTCAAGGTGTTCATAAGGTTTCCATCTTACAGTTTTCTCCAGTGAATAATAAAGGAAGTTCATGCTGCAGTCAGAGGGAGGCACGTGTATACTTTCTCTTGTATCTCATTTTCACAGACCTTAGAAATCTTTGAGACCTCTCCTGCTGTGTTGGATTTTATATAACATGGCAAAGAGATTTAAAAAATAAGAGTGACATGAGGGAGAAGGCAGAAATGGCAGAACTGCATACAGATCCAGGAGCATGGATGAAAATATTTTACATGTGACTTTATAGCAACAAAAGGTAGTAGGAGTCCACAATCTGAAATACATGCAGGGGGCTGCTCATTTGGATCACTTAGTAACTCATTGCCTTGACTTTTCATCTGCAGGTTGGATTACTGGTTTAGATGCTATTATGAGCTGTGCAACTCCCTCCTGGTCACCTACCTACTGAGACTGTATAGAAATCTTGAGTTTTGAATCTTCTAAATTCTGAAAGCAAAAATTTTGGAGTAAATGGTGTTGCAGAAGATAATGTGCTCCAGCTACCTGATTATTGTTTTTTTTCCCAACAGTGCTAGAAGATTTCAGAGGATCTGTGTGAGATTGTATCCTCAGGATTTGGTTACTAATCAAAGCACCCTGTGGGGCAGATGGAGCTGAAGTGACTTCTGGCATCTCAGTTCCATTACTACCATCTGTGCTTTTAAAATTAGCAATAAAAATACATTTTATTGGGTACAGAGTCAAGAAATTTGAACTTCAGTCCTCAGATCACAAAGGTGTGAGTCAAAACAGCTCTCTTAGTAATTTTGTTTGTTTGTTTGTTTTCTTAGGATCTTGTCTCTTTAGTTGTGGAGGAAGAATTTCAGAAATGTGAGAATTCAGCCCTCTGTTTCCCAGTTCCTGTTCCTCGTCCTGTGATCCTGGAAATTGGCTGTGGCTCTGGAGCAATTGCCCTGAGTCTGCTCTGTAAACTGCCACAGGTGAGCTCCCTTCAGTGCTCCTGGTGCAATAGATGCCTGTGTCAGGAGACAGTCCCACTCTGCTCGTCTTCACTGAGATGTCACAAACTTCTCTGATGGAACTTTGGCAGCTCAGGTCTCTGACAGGCTCTGTAAGTTCCTAGTGCATAAAGGGATATTTGGGAATTGCTCCCTCTCCCCATCTGTCTGCAGGAATAGCAGAGACAACTGGAATGAAAGAGGTGAATGTGCTCATTCTTGAGCTGCTGCAGCTCACTAATAATCGCCTTACCTTGAAGCATTGGTGGGTGTTGATTTAAGATACCAACCTGGGCTGAGGACAGGAGGGACTGAGGCATGGGCACACACACTATTGAATTTCTGGGGCAGTCATCTCTAAAAACCACCTTGCTGTGAATCAAAAGTTCTTGTCTCTAGGAAACTGAAGACTAAATGATAGAGGAAATGGATTACCATAGCAGTGTCAGTACTTGGGATCAAAAAGACAAACAAATCTCACTGCCATAACTTCCAAACCATGATTTGTGGTCTTTTGTTCCCTAGTTACAACCCACAGCTTCTGAACAGAGTCAAAAGAGCAGTAAGAGGACTGAGATCTGGGTGACCAAAGCCCTTCTTGACCCTGATTCTTGTGGTGTGTAACATCTTTGTGGAGATACTCTTGGTTAAGAAAATGAGAAATGAATTCGAGATCTCATTGCATGTGATCAAGGGAAAAGTATTTGCCTCTCCTCAGAACTGCAGACCAGCCAGGTCCTTCTCAGTAATGAGAATTGCTGTGGCCAGCCCCTTCTCTTGCAGAAGTATGAGCCCTGCTGTGTAAGAATTAGAGGTTGATGCCTCTATTGGAAGGGGTTTTCCTCCTCCCAGTGACCTGAGAAGGTTAATATTTGAGCTTCATGACTTCAGAGTATAATGGCTCTGATTTCCTGAGCTAGGAGAAGAGCTTCATGCTCTTTTCCTTGCTTGTTAACTCAAATAGCTATGTCAGTCTGTAACTCATAACAGTTCTTCCCCAGTCCAAACTGCTGTGCCTAGGGAAATAAGGAGCCTTGACTGATTAGAATTAGTGGTAGCCACACTCTGGGTAATATCCTTAGTGTTTGAGGTAGAATTTGGCACTAAGGTACTGAGAAAACAGCAGCAACTTTTCATTTATGGTCACAGCTATGTTCTTCACCTTCATGTGTGTGGGTGCTGGCCTGGCAGCATGAAATTAATCCCCTTAGGAGTGGTGGCAAATCACACCATCTCCAAATGCAAAGCACTTTCTTCAAGCATGTGTCCTCTGTGTAAATGCTTATCAATATCTGGGCTTAAAAAAGCATGGAGCATTAGGCCTTTGCCTGTGGTTTTTCCCAAGGTGGACTTGAAGGTCAAACAAATCTCTCTTTGTGGAGCCCTGTCTCTTACCGTTATGCTGGAGAGCTGTCAAAAACTCAACACACAGTCAAGTACTTGCAGTCAATACAGGCAGTGAATCTGGTGTAAGGACTGCAGTGGAGTAACTGGGTAAAAGGTGTGTGCATAACAGATGGAAAATGCCAGAATCTGTGTCCAAGGGGTTGTGTAGTGTCAGGAGGGATCCTGTCTGTGCTAGGGAGGATAAGTCCAACAACATGACCTTCCTGCAGTCTGTGCCTAGCCCAGACTAGCCAGTGTTGAGTCTCACCCTGCCAGGAGCAGTGAGGGATCAGGTGAGGTAAGTCACTGTGGCTCTGTTGTTGTCTGTTCTGGTGGGCTGCTGGCTGTGCCACAAAGAGCCTTCAGTCACCTTAGTGCCTTACACACATCACTCATGATCCCAGCTATGCCCTGCATGCATTCCTCAGGAGCTGTTCCTTTCAGGAGCCAAGAGTGAGCAGTCTCCTGTCAATTTTGATCTTGCATATTTGGCAGAGCATGTCTGCTCGGGAATCTTGATGTTATAACACCTTCTTGGTGTAATGTGGGATTTGTTGTTTTTTTCTGTTCCAGAGCAGAGTCATAGCCATGGATAAAGAGGAGGCTGCTGTGGATCTCACTAGAGAGAATGCACATAGGTACAAGACCACATATTACTCATTTCTTTTGTAAATTGTTGCAGGAGTCCTCAATACTTGTACATGTGGTTCATGTTTATCAGCAGTGGAAACCAGAGAATGTTTAGTTGTTGAACTCCTAAAGTGTGTAACAATTCAGACAAAGAAAAGCTTATCTTTACCAGAGTGTGCTTCTTTGCCTTGTGAATGTGCTTTGCAAAGACAGCAGCCTAAATAAAGCAGTGGTGCCCACATGTTGTTCATCAAGGGTTTTCAAAGTGTTTTTTGGTAACTACTCTTATCCCTGTCTGTGAACTCAGGAAGCTGAGGACTAAAGTAGGAATGTTTATGTCACTTAGGAGGTTCAGGACAAGTGTATCCTGAGCCTTTCTCTCTCTGGATCCCTCAATCATTATCGTTATGCTTGTTTCTGTCCTTGCTCCTCCAGAAATGCTTGCACAGTCAAGTAGCACTTTTCTTTTAATGTGCTCAGTGGTGTCCCTCAGCATTTTCCCTGCAGTTGTAGTTTGGTGGGAATGGTTCTCTTGGATTCTGTGCAGTTCAGACACCTATGCTGTGGCAGGAGGGATGTTCAGAGCTGCTGGCTCAAACACCTTGTGCTGAAGTTAGAGAGATATGTCAGGTTGTCATTGTCCTTCCTAGTGGCTCCACTTCCTCAGCTGGTTCTTCTGTCAGGTTGCTCTGGACCGTCACTACCACAGGGAACCCCAGAGCTGGAATCCCAGCATGCTTCTGCATCCCTGCAGGCTTTGTCAAATGAGCTCCAGATTGTACTCACATTCTCAATAACTGCTGGGCCCTAGGCTTTAATTAGAGCCATCTCAGAAAGAATTCCTGTTGCTATTTCTCATGGAGTTCAGTACAACTGTGAGTCTCAAGAGGTGCTCATTAACTGGGATTTCTGTCCACAGATCCAAATACCTCTCTTTTCCCAAGCTGCTGCTGGCATTGGGAAGGCTACTTCTGGTGCTGGCTACACTGGGCTGCATTTCTTCACTTCTTGCAAGTCTTAGCTTGTGTGTGAGTCTGAAGAGCTGAGTAGGAACAAGCCCTTCCCAAACTGGTCACCTCACTGTTACCCTTTGCCTCCTAGCCCAGTTACAGGGAATGGGGAGCAGAGGTCTCCTCCTAATGTGTCAGTGTCAAACCAAATTCTGTTGCAATTTTTCATAGATATAATAAAAGCTGGCCAGATCTTTGTCTCCTTGATAAACTAACTCTGATCTCTGGGGAAAATTGTTTTGCTTATTAACATTGCTTGTTGGCTCAAAAGTGGATGAGGGAGTATAAATGCCATGTCAGAGAGCATCATATTTCTCCATGGATATTTTCATTGCATCTTTGTGATCTTGTCCCTGGCATGGTGCCCTGTAGCTCTTGGGAGAGAAGCCAGCAGGATAAGCTCTGTTACTGCTTGACTGAACCCAGCTTAGATCTTGCCTGCTTTTTAGAGCTCCCGTATCCCAGCAGTGTTCAATAAATGCTTAGATGAGCCTTAGTGGATCAATCTTGGTGCCAGATCCATCTGGGCACATGGCACACAGTGCAGGAATCCCTCCCTTTCCTGATGCCTGTGGATCCTGATAGGGAAGGACCACAGACCCACAGCAAAGGGAGTAGAACTTGGGTGTAAAGGCCACTATGGTGGGAGGAGAGAACATGCTGGGAAGATCTTGGCAGTTGTGGATATATGTGTATCAGATAAGAGGTGCAATATTTAGTGATCTGTTTGTAGAATGTACTGTTTATGAACACAAATACACCTCCTAATCTTTCTTCTTTCTGTTCTTGCATCTGGAATTTTGCAGGCTGCAACTCCAAGAAAGGATTCACATCATCCACCAAGATGTTTCACACAGTAACTCTTTTCACTGTTATAATCCCCTTTGTCTTTTTCCCTTTTTGTCTTTGATGGGTGGAGGGAGGCATGAGAGACAGCCAAGGGACCACTCTGGGATACAGGCAACAGAAGAGTGTTGAAGTAGCAGAGAAAAAGGCTAGTAAGAAGTGAGCCAGTGAAGCTTTTCCCTGCAGAGATTTCCAGGGCAGATGAGCAGCTGATAGAAGTCCCTGATTATATCAAAAAGTGAATTGTTCCTGGGTTTAGATATCCCAAGGTTGCATCTGAGCTGGGAGTCCAGGTGCTCTTTACTTTTGCTGGGGAGAGATAAATGCATAGAGTGTAATTCTTTCCATGCATGAAACGGAGGCTTTAGATAAACATGTACATGTCTTTCTCTCCATTGATGTTAGAAGGAGCTCACATTTTTAGTTTAGATTAAATGCTCAACCTTATTCGCCTGAATTTAGGTTAGTTGAACCAGGAAAGGATACTTTTCTTCCCCAAAGCCAGCTGAAACCACTTAAAACTAACATTTGGTGGGGCCTATCCAGTTAACAGCTGTGGAGCCAGGAGCTGCAGCACTGTGGGTTCATTAGCACACCTTTCTGACACTTTTGACACTCTGCTACTCTACTAGAGTAGACTACTCTACTCTTAGAGCTGAAAGCCCTGTGCCAAGAGGCTGCCTGAGGACAGTGCCATGCTCACGTGGTTCCATGAGGTCTGATTCAGGGCTGGCCTGTGTCAGACAGCAGCAGGAGTGTAGCTCTGCAGAAGAGCAGCCCATTGTTGTTTTTGCTGAGGGGCCCTGGCTCTGCAGGTCGTTGAAGGTCCTGCTGCAGCTCTGTAAGGGGGAGGATGTTCATCTGAACAGCCAGTCTGAGCTCCCACTTAGGCCTTTGTGGGCTCTCTGAGTTCTGGTTGTTGCTTTAGATCCAGGTGGGCAATGAACTCCAGGGCATCAAGCTCCTGTGCTTTTTATCATGTTTTGTTTAGCAGGCTCTTATGAAAAAATGATACTTTGCCTGTGCTTTCCTTTGTATCACTCTTGCACCCCTGGGACAGGGAAAAAGGCATGCTATTGCAGAAAGAAATAGGATAAAATTTTATTATCACAAAGCAGAACCAAACACATTTACATGTGCCTGGACACAGTTCCCTGGGGAGGGTCTCAACACTGAGCTTATAGAGAAGATGCTGTGGTTGAGAGCTGCTTGTGATTCTTTTTCTTTTCTAGGTTCTGCCAAACAGCTGCTGCTCTGGGGCCCCATAGATGTCATAGTCAGTAACCCCCCATATGTTTTCCATGAAGACATGGCTTCCTTGGATGCAGAAATCCTCCGGTAATCAGACAAAGAGATTTTTCCTCTCCTATTCCTTGAAGCAAGGTTTTCTGTCTGCTTCCTTGTACTACACAGAATTGCACATAAAACATGCAAATGTAATATACACATGCAAAATATAGGTGTGTTTATTTGAGATATAATAATACAGGCTTGCTTTGATACTGCTTGCAGGCCTGAAGCAACATGGAAGTGTTTTAAAGATTTATTAAAATGGAAAAAGCACACAGATTGAAATTAGCAAGTTCTCAATCCAAAACTCATTGTCATGCATGTGATGAGAAAGTCCTGCCCCCACTTCTGTACGAGATGTGTACCAGAACAGGTTCTGACAGCTGAGCTTTCTGCATCCCAGCTGGCTCTGCTGGATTAGCTACAGCCTGAGCTGATGTTTGGCATGGATCACTCAACACCCTTGCACTCTGGCCAGCTTAGAGAGAACAGACCTGTGTGTTGGAACTATGAGATCCCAGCTACAATTGGCTCCTAGTTTTCAGAAATACTTCAGGGGATATTTTCTGCTTGTGCTAAATGTGGGGTTTCTCAGCCCAGTGGTAGCTGCCTTCTCCCTCCCTGTGTTTCCTATAGAAGGGGTGAGTGCTGTCTGTCACCTGCTCTATGAACACTGGGGTTCAGGTGTGTCAAGTGCACCTTTCTTTGTAGGGTCATGCATTCTCAAGGGCCACAGGAATTGCTGTCAAATGTCTTTTTCTTACACTCCAGCTATGAGGACCTTGATGCCCTGGATGGGGGAGATGATGGCATGAGAGTCATCAAAACAATTCTGTCTTTGGCTCCTTCTCTTCTGAAAGTTTCTGGGTAAGAACTACCCCTTTTGAATTTCATGTATTTTATCCATCCACTTCTGTAAATTCTGTATTTCCCTGTAGGAAAACAAATCAGAGGGAAAGTAGTTGCCAAATTGTCCCCTCATTGCCCCAGTTAATAACAGCAGTTTTTAAAATGTCATGTGTAAGCAAGATGAGCTTGAAAATGGTTAATAAAGTGGTATGAGCCCTTTCTTTGGTTGTTGGTGGTGTTTCCTGGTCATTAGTGAAATGAGAATCTTTGAAGGTCAAAGCAGCAACAAAAAGAAAATGGAAGAGAGTAGCCGAGAAAGAGAGTGCAGAAAGCAGGGGAGCTTTCTAAGGTGAGTAACTGATGGAAGGAGAAGCAATGGAGATCTCTTTGAGGGTGGGTGTAGATCTCCTCTTCCCTCCCACCCTTTAATTAGGGAAAACCTTTTTGTTATACCAGTATACAGCACTGAACATCTCAGGAGAAAGAAGATCAGTCAGGGATAGCTTCTTAAATGTTAAATTTCTCCATGATTAATATTCAAAAGTGATTGTTCCTATTCTCTGTCATGTGGGATCCATTTTGAGGGTCAACATGCTGATACCCCAAAGTCTGAGTGTACTGTTCATGTGCCAGGGCATTCATACATGCTGTTGAATATTCCTGACAATTGGCCACCATAAGAGAGGTCACTGAAAATCTGCTATTTGAGAAGAATGGGAATATTGAGAGGCATAGTGCATGCAGAATTCATTCCTCATGCTTTGCATGACCACAAGAGCAGAAGATGCTCCTCATAATTTCCCAGCATTAGAGACTGGTCCTGTGGGTTTGTTTGTTAAAATGATTTATTTTCCTTCTCTTTTTGCTTGTTTAATAAGGTGGAGCCCCCATTGAGGAGTGGAAGTTTTTTAAGGTCAGAAATGAGATCCACACCCAGCTTGTAGTTAGCCTAGTGAATTTGTAGAGAGTATTCAGTTTGGGATGTTTTAAGAGTTCTCAGGAGGGCGTTTGATGGTTTGGCCTGTGTCCTTTGCCTGCTAAATGTGTCTCTTGCTGTGTCCCAGGCCATAACCAGCTCCATCACTCGCTGTGCCTGTGAGCTGGGGTGGTTCTGCTTTGTCACGGGAGGGGACGTGGGGAATAAGCCAGTGTCATAAAGCCTGGCAGAGATGGAAATAGCCCTGCAGTGTCCAGGCCTGGTCCTGGTGCTTTATATGAGCTTATTTGATCAGTTCTGTGTAGGCATGAATGCTGGTGTTGTTTTCATAACTGCTTCATGGAGACATTTACTGTGGAAGAATGTGTGTTCTGACTTGGACTTCATGTCTCTCACTGCTTATACACAGGGGGACTTCAGGCTGCCAGTGCTCAGTGTTCCTGCAGCATAAAAGCTGCCTTCTGCCCTTAAACCTTTAGAGGTTTCAGAAACACTGCTGGTGGTACCCGTGGATAGGCTTCAGAAGGGCTTGGTACATCTCGATACAAGGCTTTAACTGCTCACAGAGTACCATGAGAATTCCTCCCAGGATCAACACTTTATCCCCTGAAGGAGGCAGCTGGGATCTGTGTCTTATGTGGACAGCTATGATCTGGTTTAGGGTTGTTGGATTGCACGGTGTTTACTGACCTTTTCATTTCCTGCAGTGGTCAGAGTCATACAGAAAGAAAGATCTTAATTTTTATCAGTTTAGCAACCCAATGCATCTCCCCAATTCTACTCCCAAATGTGTCTTTTCAGGAGTGTGTTTATGGAAGTTGATCCCAGGCATCCAAATATGGTGGAGCACTGGCTACAGGCACACCCAGAGTTACTGCTCACTCTCCATGCCATTCACAAAGACTTTTGTGGCAAGTAAGTCCTTCTTTGCCTTCACGTTTTTGGGGGTTTTGTGTCCTATGTCCCTGCACCTGTATGTATTGAGTGAGCCCAGAGTAGCTTCACAGCTGAAGCCAGTCTGACAAAATAGGGGCTCCCTGGTAGTATCTCAGCCTTCTGGAATCCTGAGACAGGATAGTCTTTGGCAATTGATGCAAGTGTTTGATTCAGAAATTCTGACAGGTGAGCATTCTGATGGGGTGACTAGCTCTGGTGGGGTTATTGCCATTGGAAAATTACTGCTTTTATAGGGTGGAGGTAGAGGCACATTGTCCTTAGTGAGACTTAAAGCTCTGGTCTTTCTTTTTCCCACAGGCCTAGGTTTCTGCACATCCAGAAACAAAGCAGCTGACAACTGTGTCAGACATAACTCTCCTTGCAAGAATGCTTTTTGCTCTTGAGCCCAGCTCAACAGCTTGTTGAAAACTCTTTCTGCCTTGTGAAAGGAATCTCCATTTCCCAATGTTGGACTCTCCATGCAGTGATAGACCCCTCATTTCCTGACACAGACCTCATCCAGAGATGCAGAAGTTCAGCTGAGCATGTGGAAGTGTTTCACCCTCCTCAGGGAACTGCATTAAACATTTTAGTCTGCTCTGCTAAAGTGACTCAGTCATCTCAGGACCCAAGACAGAAGAGTTCACAGCTCCAGATTAAAAATACAACTTCTCAACATGCCAAATCATCCATTTGGCCTAGAAAGAATTCAATTATATTTTTGTAAATTGGCCTTGAGATACATTTATATGGAATGTGACCAGATGATAAGCCCAAACCCTGGCTTATACTGGCACATGGATATGCAGGTATAACAGGACATAACTGTTGTGCACATTTCAAATGCTGTTCAGTTCCAGAATCCTGATGCTCCAATAGCAAAGCAGCTTTTGTTTTCCACTCCTGCTGAGTGATTGTCTCTGAAGGATCAGTGCACATGTTACAGCACCTGAATTTACAGCCCTTGACACTTGGTGGATGCTGCCAGAAACAGTCAAAGCATTTTAATAAAGACAGTGCTTCAGATCAGGGTCCTTAAAAGAATTTCACTGCTACTATTCAGAGATGCTGGCAGGCCTGAATAAACATCTGGCATCCACACATTGCTCCGATAGTAACAGAAATGCCTAAATACCACATGAGGCATTTAATTGCAACACTTTACAGAGAAAGCCAGAGCCACTACTTTGGTTTTGCAGATGGAGAAGTTGAAAAACAGGAGGTGGAATGACCTGCACAAAATTTGACAAGCTGAGTTTGGAGGAGGACCCAGTCTCTTGACAGGCTTGGGAATAGCTGAGGTCTGTCTCTTTGGGAAGGGTGACTCAGACTAGGGCTGCCTGAAACAGCACTGAGAGAAGTCCCTGAAGTGGACAGTCAACATCATGTCAGTGTAAATAATGGCAGGATTGAATTCAAGCTGCTGTTGCTGCTGTTTCCAGTGGTGCAGGTTCCCTTCCGCACCATGGCTAGCCAGGGAAGGAAGGAAAGCAAGCCAAGAAAAGGGTCTGGTCTGCCAGGCCAGATGGAGGTGAGCACTCAGGAGGGGTGGGAGTGTCCAGACAGGGCCCTGCTGTGTGTGTGTGTGCCAGGGAGGAGCTCCCAGGCTCTGTCCAGGCTGACCTGGGGCTGCACAGCCTGTGATATCAGGTAGGACATGCAGCAGCAAACTGAGTCTGTTGGAAGGCTGCAGCAGGTTCAGAGGGTGTTACATGAGCACTGATACATCTGCTTCCTTTCATCTCTTCCACACTCTCACTCCTCAAATGAGTCTTTCCTCCATCCCTTTAGCTCCTGAATATCAGCCCTGCTTTCCTACAAACACCTGAGCTCTCTCTGATGAGCCAGCACTTGGGTTCCTGCTGGAACCTTTCCCTCCTCACAGCTCTGTTCAGTCTTGCTTTTCACCCACTGGACATCTCACACTATATCACTATATCTCACACATCTCACACTACTATCCAGTAGTTTAACCATGTCCTATACACTTTTTACTTGAATTTGTGAGTCTTCTCTGGCCTGCAGTACCTGCCCTGGTTAAATGCAGTAGAGGAAATCTAGGGGAGGAGAAAAAAAAAAAATAGGTCAGTTAAAGTGCAGTTGAGCATAGGTTTGGAAATACCATTTTAGTGCAGCTGATTTCTGGCCTCCTAGAGCCATGAGCACAAAGTATAATCAAAGGGGTGGTATTTAGGGATATTTTTTAAGTTCAGTTTTTCAGATTGTTTAAAAATTAAATTTAAAGAAATGAGTTCTCAAATTTCTTCTGGGTGTTGGCAGTGTTTGTGTATGAAGCAGAGCATTATGCACAGCCTGCTTCTGCAGGAGACCTTAAAAGCTGGATAGTCCCTGTGCTGATGGGAATGTTAAACAGCATCATGCTGCATTCTTTAGGGGGTGGGCTGGTTCCCTGCAGCAGGCTGGTGTTAGGTGACCCTCTGAGAGTGCCAGTGTCTGGGCTGCAGAAGGGAGTGTGCTTTTTCTTGGAAGTATCAGTCAATCCCTTGTCTGAGCCCTGAGCAGGACAAATCCCATGCAAGACAGACTATTGGTCTAATCCAGTAGAACAAGTGTTAAATTCTATATTTGTCACTACAACACTTGCATTTCTATGTATTTGCATTGTATAGTCATTATATCTCTTGGAAAATCACATGGTGCTGCTGACCTTTTCATAAAAGGAAAAATTGCTGCTCCTCCCAGGAGGCTGGATGTTCCTGTGGGACTCGCATCCGAGGGAATGTGCTGTCGTAGTACAGCATGTTCCTCTGTGTTTTACACAGATTGGCCCGGGCTCCTTTTGGTACAGAAGCACTGCAAAGCTCTTTGGAGGTTTGAAGGAGCCTGGCTGGAGCCCTGGGCCGTGTCTGTGTTGCCTGAGGGCAGGAGGCCGAGCTGCCACTTGGCAGAGCCCTGGGCACATGAGCTCTGCAGAGGCAGAGCTGCTCCCTGCAGCCACAAAAGCTGAGGCTTCACTCGGCATCCTGCATAATCCAGTATCTGACATACACTGGATTTTCTGGGTCTTGGGAACTGTGTCCAAATGGTGACTTGATTCCTGAGGTGATGCTGTCAGAGGGGGGCTTTGTTTGCTTTCAGGACCCTGAGGAGCGGGGCTGTGCTCGTGCTCACATCTGTGTTTTGGGGTTTACCAGGTGTGTGGTGTCTGCTGGGCTGACACTGCCCTTCCCGAGGAGGAGCCGCTTTGGCAGAGCCCTGCAGATGGAGCTGCGGTCCCAGTTTAGCTGTGTCCGTGCTGGAGACACTCCTGCCTCAGCCTTCCCCTTTGGGCAAGGTGCAGGCTCAGGAGAGTGACAACTGGGGTCAGCAGAGGTCTGGAGTGTAGGTGCAGCTGCAAATGGGGCTTTGACCTCAGTTCCTGTGCTGGGGAAACAGAACTTCCACAATGAGCTCAGGAAGCTGGAAGGGGACTCAGCTGGGACACAGGAGTGGGGTTGTACCTCCTGCTGTGAGTGGGCAGCCCAAACCCCCCAGCACTGGAGGTCAGAGATAGATCCCATTCTTGTTCTGGTGTATTGTCCATGTGGGCACCCCGAAGTGCAAGCACTGACCATGCTTTCAGTCTCCACCTGAGATATGGGGTGAAAGGGACTTTGCAGGGACCTTCAAGAGACAAACATTTATCCTCACATTGTTCTCTGCTGAGCCTGTGCTCTTGTAGGGCTGAGACTCCTTTCCATGGGAGGAGCTGGCAGATAGAGGGACTGCATTAGGGTAACAGAGGGTGACTCTGGGGTCCCACATGACCATGTGTATGTGTGGATTACTGGCCAGCACTCAGTTCCTCAATGTAGGGCCATAGATCAAAACTGCTTGGAAGGGAACTTGACAGCCATCTAGCCAATTTCCCCATCCAAGTAAGCATCAACTTGCCTTACATCATTCCTGACAAATGTTTGCCCAGCCTGACCCAGAGGCTCCCATTGCTGGTAAGGACTTTAGCATGCAGTCTGTCCTGGTGTTTTGTGGTTCTATCTGCTAAAAAGTTTTCTTTTGTCATGGCAGCTCTGCTGACTAAAGCTGAGCACTTCTGAGGTGTTCTGAGGTGGAGAACAACTGCCTCTCTCCTTAGAGCACCTCCCATGTGCTCTGTCCCCATATTTCCTCATAGTCTTCATTTCTGGAACAAAGAACTCCAGCACTTCTTTCTGTAGGCTGCTTGCACATCCTTCTCTCCATGCTTGTGAAATGTAAGGGGGATTATATGTGCTTCAAACTTCTTAGAGGTGATAGTTGTGCCTCTGGTGAGTGGGATAATAAAGCTGCTAGAGCTCACCCTGTTACAGGGCAGTCATTTCTCAAGTGAAGACCAAGCCAAAACTTGCATTAACTTTTTTGGTGTCTGGGAAAGTTACCAAAAACTGTATTTAAGTTTTAATGAACTTGAGGAACAAATGAGAAGGCTTCTTTCTCACACTCAAGAAGATAACGAAGGTACCAAGAGAGACTTAATCCAGTTTCCAGGCTATTTCCTCTTCCATAGATGTTTTGAGATGCTTTGAGTTCAGTGTCAGAAGTTTCAGATGTTGTTCTGTGGAGGGTCATGTCACAGTCCTCCTGTTTCTTTTTCTTGGGAGCTGCTGGCAAATGTCAGTGTGGTTGATGCAGTCTCTGGTGAGCACAGGGGCACTTATATGAAATTCATCTCATCTGCTGCTTGGTGACAGGACTCAGCACCCTGCTGCAGTGTGATAACCCAGTTTGGCTTTGCTGCTTTTCAGTGCAAAGGCAGAGGATGTGGGAGTGCAGAGCACCAGCAGTCACTTCTCTGCAGCGAGTGCCTCTCTGAGCACAATGAGAGCGTGACAGGGGCTGCTGCAGAGGGCTGGGAAGGTGCATCCTGTGCACAGCAGCAACTGCTGCTCTGACAGTGCACAAGTGTCAAATGAGCTGTGCTGCAGACAGGTGCTGCCACATATTGTGGTCTCTGGAGTTTGTCTTCATAGTGTGGTTGATGTCAGAACTGTAGCTTTGTTTGTGGCAACTTCTAGCTCTAGAGATCTGCTTAATCTGCTCCCTTCAGCAGCACACCTGAATGGTCACCCTTCAGTGTTTTGTGTGCTCATCTCAGCATTTTGGGCAGAGTGGCATCTGAAATCAATGTGATTTGAGTGGCAGCTGCTCTGTCAACATTACAGAGATAACCATGAGCAAGGTTACTCCAGGGTGGAAGGACTTAGAACCACTGCATGTGAACAAACTGCTGCCTGGGAAGGAAGAGGTCTTGCCTCAATGCTCACTCTGGTTCAGCTTGCTTTAAAGGTCTGCATAAGTAGTTTCACACTTCATCTTTTCTTTTGTGACAACTGCGATGTTCTGAGATCATCCTGTCCATGGCAGGGATTCTCAGGTCCTGGGCTGAAATTTGCAACATGGCAAAGAAGAGTTTACCATCCAAATATCCAGTGGCAACAGGTGTGGTAGGAAATGAGGCATAGCAAAAGAAGAGCCATGGCAGAGTCACAGCAAGGGCTCAAATGCTCTCAGTGGCAGTTCTGGCAAACCCAGCTGTAGCTGTACTTTTCCTCCCTTAACTGGTATTTTAAATAGTGTCCATCCCAGCTGTTCCTTGGAAGGATGATGGTGCCTCGAGAGCAGAAAGTAGTGATTGTTATTCCTTGATGGAGTGTGAGAGAAATGTTTGATTTTGAGAGCCGTGGTGTTGGGATGTGACAGGAGGGTAATTTTCACACTGTATTACTGGCACAGCCATTGCTAAATGCTGCAGGGCCTGGAGGCACACACATAGCAGATTGGAGAAGGGAGAGGTGAAGAAACCATTGCATGAAGCTCATCTAGGGAAGACGAGATTCTTGGGAAAGGGTGTGTTAAAGCTGAGGTTTTAGGAAGGAAGGCCTGTGCTGCCACATTCCTGCTTTGCCACCCTGAAATCATAAGTAGAAGTGTGGGACTGAGTCTCTATAATGTGCAAGTTGTATGTAGGAGGCAAACTGAGAGTTTCTGCTTAATGCCTGCACTTCAGCAGGTGAGTGGAGCCCCTTCTGCAATGTGGATGGATTCCTGTGGACCACAGGTGATGGCAAGCAACAGTGGACAGAGCACAGCACTCTTGTTGATCAAGAGCAGAGCACTCTCAGTGTGTCACAAAGATGCCACTGGTCTATTTCTACAAAGTGGGACTTGTCCATCAGCTTGGTAGCACAGTGCCTGTGGCTCTGGGGCCCTTACCTTGGCAGCCTGAGCTGCTGCAGGAGCTGCAGTACCCAGCAGTGCTGGTGGGAGACTGGCTTCTGCCATCCTCTCTCTTATTGGACTACTCATGTGAGACTGTCTGGAATGTCAACACAGTTGCTTGGGTTGTTGAAAAAGGCTTGAATTATTATAAAATTCCTGGCCTGGTATTTGGCTGATGATTAATTACTTAGGTTTGCGTAGTACTTTGATGTTCCAAATGTAAACCCAGAGCAAGCTGTTACAACTGTGTTGACCTCAGTGAAGTCATCCCAGTCATTCAAGTTGGCACACCTGGTGCTCTGTGGTATTTGTATTCTGTGAAACCAGCATCCAGTCATTGATTTAAGTCTTTCCAGGGACTGGAGGCTGTTAAGCTGTTAATCTTTTTTCCTCTCCTCTATTGATTGCTGGGCCACTTACCAGCAGTGACCTTCTCACCACACCTTTTGACTTTGAGCTTGCTGCCTCTCTGGATTCCTTCTCTGAGCCTTTGCAGTTTGTGGTGTGTTTGTATTGCCACAGTGCTTAGAAACTCCTCTCAGGTTGCTCCATTTCTCTCTAAGTTTTCCCTTCTCTACTCCCCCGCCAGTATCTTGTTGTGTAACTCTCCCCCAGCCAATGTTGTTGGCTTGCATAGATAAATTTCTTGATGCTGGACAATTTGGAGTAACCTTGTGACAAAAAAATCCCCCTCTAAAATGCAGTTGCATTGTCCTCCAGTGATTTGGCAGCTGGTGGGGTTTGCTGGGTGGAGTCCTGGTGCTGGCATGTGCTCTTTCTGCTTGAGAAGAGCAGATTAAGATCATACTTCACTTAAATAAGGCTTCTTCATTTAATGTGGATGGTCAGCAGGCACTCAGGCTGAAAGTAGATTTTGTACTTTAACTTCCAGGTCAGTGGGTTTTTTGTCTTGTTTGTGTCAGCAGACAGTAGGCCTTTGTTCAGCAGCACAACTTTTCCACCTCAGCAACGCAAATGCATGTGATGCAGGTCCTGAGTTGTGCAATAAACTCGAGGATATATATTGTCTGTTCCACTTCAGGACTTGATTGTGTGCCCTATTGACCAGCAATAAAGCCAACAGTATGGAGGTAGTTATTTATTTTGGCTTTTCCATCTGCTGTTGCCTGTGTGGGGAAGAAAAAGGCCATAAGTACTTGGAAAGTGAAAATTTTGCTTTAGAGAGGTGGTCTTGGTAACTTGTGCAAGCTGGATAATTTAATTGCATTAGTTTTAAATTAAAAATTTAATTTAGTAATTGTGTAATTTTGTTGCTAAGGAAGGACAGGGTTAAGGTCAGGGTAGTCATGAGCACAAAAGTTGAAGGATTAAGATGAATGTCCTGTTGGAGTCCTGATCACAAAACAACTCCTTGGAATCCCATCTTTGCAGGGGTTGGTGTTTGCTGGCACCTTCCTCTGCAAAGGCTGGAAAGGC